AGAGCGGGGGGGGGAGGGGGGGGGGAGTGGAACATACAAAAAAAAAAATCTTTTTCTGGGCAACATTTGTTCCCAGCACATATATTCAAAATAAGCGTTTAACAGCGACGGACTGTAGTTGAGCTAATTGGTCCTGTGGTTGAAACAGTCAGAGCTGGCTTCCTGTATGAGCACAGGCGAGCCTCCCGGGGAGGGACTGCAGGGCTCGGAGAGGCAACCACCAATTTGTCTCCTTCAGTGGAAGACCATTTTCCCCATCCCTCCTTCCCAAAAAAGTATACAGTACAGGCAGAAGAGCTGGCCAGGGCAGGGAGGGAAAGGGCTGCTCCCGCTGGGCTCGCTTCCTGGTGCATGTTACCAGCTTGGAGAAAAATCTGTCACTTCTGTTCCACACTGCATGGGGGATCACTTGAGTTTTTCCAGGCTAAAGGTAAAATAATTGAATGACAAAAACAGACAAGGAAATTTAACCCTGGAACTTCCAAACGGTGCTGCTCGCTGGGCAAAAAACAGGGCAGGGGGAATAGCCAAATCCAAACAAACCCCAGTTTCCACTGGAATTGAGCCATGGAAACGTTTTCCTTGCGAGTTTGTAAGAAAATGTAAGCCTGTGCTTAGGACCTGCAGTGATAAGTCTTCTGGCAACCGCTCTGCCCTAGCCACGGTACACAGAGCTCTTCTCAGCCCACTTCTCATGCCCATCTTTCACGGACTAAGGTATAACGCTGGCCCCTTCACACACGGAGGAGCGGATTTAGGCTGTGCAGTCAATAAGAGAAAACACGAGCTTACAGAAAACAGCAGCAGCAGAAATGCATGAAGTTTATCACAACCCAGGCAGTTATGGCAGGAACAGGCACGGTGCAAAGGTCCCTCTCCTCCCACAGAGCTGGGAGCAGGTCACAAGGTGGCAGCGGTGTGTAATGTAAACAGGTAACGCTCACACAAAGCTGCCAAACTGGCCAGACCCCCCTCCAGCTCAAACAAAAAAAAAAAAAATCCCATTGTCTATTTCCAGTGAGGAAGATGTTGTTCAGCTTGCCTCTGATAAAGGTATAATGTGGTGTTTTTTCTGGCAAGATCTTCCAAGGGGCATCAATTTATAGTAAAGCTACCAGTAAAAGCCTAGCTATCGATCACTAACATGAAGGGACATCTCAGGACTGCATGTAGACAGCCACCCCACAACCACAGCTCACACACAGCTACGTGCACGCATCCAGTACTCTCTTCACTGGGCATTGATGTTCACAAATCCCTTGTCCACAGTGCGCACACAAAGCAATCAGCCATGACATTTTCATTGCGGCATAATGTTAAATTCCTGTCTCAGCCCAACCTTAAGGCTGAAGGCACCTGCTCCTCCTCACATACCTGCATCTGAAAGCACACAGCTGCTTAGTTTAGAGCCCAAGGAACTGCCTTTGCACCTCCAAGTAAGACAATGGGTTAATGTGGATAGTTAAGTGACAGCATTTCAGGAGGTCGATGGGTTTTATTTAAAAAGAGGAAAAAGCAACAGGTTTGGGGGTTTGAAAAAGCTTCTCAAAAGCAAAACGGTCTTACAGTCTCGGTCTCACATCTCATCCCATTTATTCTCCTACACATCTCCAGTAGCTTCTCCATCACTTCTTCTCCTTCCAGCTTTTCTAGCTTCCTCCAGAGCTTCTGTATTTCCCTGCTGCATTTCACGCACTTTCTGGCTTCCGCTTGCACGTGGTGGTTGGGCTGTTTCCCGCTCAACATACCAACATCCTCGCTAATACTGCCAGTGTCTGCCTCAGCACACAGTCATCACGTGCTAGCTCAGCACTGGCCAGAACAGGCAGTGGAGAAGCTCTGAGTTTTGATGACAAATTAAGGTATTTCATAACTGAACCAAACTTCATCAGTTTTCTTTCCACTCTGGTGGTAACTGGCCTAGGGTATCTAGAAACGATGCCTGCAGACCAAGCCCTGAACACGGCAGTGGTGAGCCACATTCCCACGGCAGATCAGCAGAAAACTTCAGTCTCCAGGGGCTGAAGCCACTCTCTCACAAGCACTACATTCACAAAAACAAAGGCGGTCTTGAGCACCGCTGGTGTGATCCTGCTGCCTTAGAGGCAGCTTTCTATGGGCGAGCTTCCTTTCATTTGCTTTTGTTGGTCATTTCCAACAGCAGCACTTCAAGGGAACTTTATTGTGCTGGAGACAGAGGCATTCTGGAGGACTGTACAAGGGAAGCATGCATCTGGGGAGTTTTGAAAACACATTATCCAAACCTAAGTGTCACTACATTCCAGGATGTCAGTGTCAGCTGGACACTTATAAATAGCTTCACCAATCTGAATAGCATGACCTAGTGTATATCAAAAACCTCCTTCAGAGGCTTTTTCAACATTACTTCCCACTGCAGATACAAACAGCTGGTAAAAATAAATGAATTTATCATCACCTCCTCTTGGCAGTAATGAGCTACTCCCACCTAGACTTTATGCTCAGGAAACTGAGGCATGGTGATATAACGTGGCACCAGGAAAGCTGTAAACCCTGCAGAACTAACAACTCGGAACACCTTAATCATGTGGTTTCCATGATTCTGCTGGAGGAACAGCATCAGAGCTGAGACATGCACTGAGGATAACAGAAACAACAGCTGGGACAGTCCTCTGCCCTACATCAAATGGAAACGAGATGTTGCTCTCCCACCCGCTTCTGCCAGATCCGTGGTTCCAGGAGAAAGGCAAACTAGTCCAAAGGCAAAGATCAGCAGATCACCAGATCTACTGGGCCTGCAGGAGTGAGTTTACTCACCCTAGCTCCCTGCACCAAGTAAGCAGATTTTCTCCTAATGAAGTTGGGCACTAAAGTCATGTTGGAGGCCAGCCATTTCACTTTGGTGCCCAAATGACAGCCAAGCACCTTCGGGAAATTCCACCCCCCCACCCCCCCCTTTCTTTTTTT